GCCGGCGTTTAGGGACTGCGTCGGTCGGTCGCAGAGAGCCAACTGCCCTTCCATTCGGGTAGCCTGGGCCGCAAACCCAAGCAAGGGAATGTGAGAAATCTTATGGTCATCACACAATGTCAGATTAGTGCATGATGACTAGTGAGAATCCGTCGATCCAGGACCCACTGGAGCCCGTAATTCCGGCGATTTTGTATCCCAAAGGAGGTATTAAAGTGTGTCTAACGCCAACTTGTCAGTTCCAAAGCATTGCAATGAAAAGCGACGAAATCATGCGAAGGGCTATTCTTACCCTGAGCCTCCTTGAGCATTTCCGAACATGCCAGATTTCCTCCCTTGACTGGTCAAGATCTCGATAGCGTCAATCCAGTGGCCGGCCCGAATATAAAAACCGAGCAAAATCTCCCCCCTCCGAGTGTCTAATTCTGTCATTAGTGCCTGTCTACTAGGTAAGACACGGGAGACAGCTTACCGAGCACGAAATCATCACCGCCAGGTTTTCCTTCCCTGTTGCCAAAGAGCTGACTCGTAGCATCCTCATAGAAGAATTCAAGTCCATTAACTGCCGCGCCGTGATAGATTCGGACCGATGTCAAGAGCTTGGTCGAGATAAAGGCACAATCCAACAACAGCTGCTCAGGCTGGCTTCCTTCCAACTGAGAAAGCCCTAATTGTCTACCCTTGTAGCCGGTATGGCTCTTGGGTAGTTTCACTAGGGATAATTTCGATTTCAGGGTACTGATCGAATCCACGGTGTGACTGCCAAGAGCTCCGGAGTAGATAATCATTTTGACGCTCTTCTTCTTCTCCTTATCGTTGCCGAAGACGCGTTGACGCAGTTCAGTCTCTGTGACGGTGATCTGCCTTGGAAGCCCGTTGCTGCTGGACTCACTGTTCATATACTCGATAAAGTTGTGGCAAACATTGTCTCCTTCGGCATAGAGTTCAATGAACGCGATTCCCGATGGAGCCGTGAGAACGATTTTGCCGTTTTCGACGGGCCAAACCTGAATGCTGTCATCGGAGCCTATAGGAGCATCGCTGGGCAATCGGAAACAGGGGTGGAACCGGAACCGCAGAACGTCAAGTCGATGCCAGCCACATTCATCCTGTGGTAAGCACAGTTTAAGACCTTGAGTCTTCGTTCGGGTGGAAAAGGGCTCGCGTGTGAGGAAAGACCGGTTGAGACGGACATAGTCCCGAAGCATGATGCCCGACTCTTGGTGCGGACACCCGAAGAGGTGACCGACCTCATGAAGATGCGCTCCAATACCGATGTTGGCAGCTTCCCAGCTGGATCCAGCCTCTCCGCAATCATTGGCTACACAGTCGGTGTTAGTTCTGGTGCAATCGGTGAAGGCATCCACGACTTCTTCCAAATTAGATGGGTAGCTGTGAAGGCTATGGGAGCCGAATATCGCTAGCTTGAGGTCTCCGGAGTCCGAGCCCAGGGCGGCATGACCAGTGATCACTTGAGAGCCCGTGTCCCAGTGTGAGTCGAGAAGCAACACGGAGACATACTGCTTCTGGCCTGGCTGAAGGCGAAAGTAGTCCTTCACGGCATCTTTCGCGATTTGGAATAGCTCGTCCTTCTGGGTAGCAGAGCCATTCTGCTGCGCGATGTTGAGATCCCGGAGTTCCGCGACTGTCTTCTCGGTCCGAACAACGTGGATTTTCGCCTCGTTTCGCATTTGGCCAGTAGTTGCATCGCGACGACTTGACGTACCCAATTGCCACTCGTCCTCGAGCCGGAAGCAGCGCCGTCCAAGATTGTTGCGATACATTTGTTCCCCGGTGAATGCTTGCCACAGGTATGCTGCCATCCGATACTTTTGCATAGCGGTCTCGAGGCCATTTCCATCCCGTTGTTGTTTCTCTGGAGGGGTGTCGAAGGTACCGTCTGAGTCCTTTCCGAGCAGTATCACCAACTGCAAAGGCGGGGCATTGACCAGTGGGAGATAATTGATGCAGATCCAGGATGAATGAACCGATTGGTGAGAGCTACCGGACGAATGCTTGCTCGACACAAATTCGAAGCGCAGTCGATTGGGACCGGGTACTAGATGCACCAATGTCTTGAAGTGTGAAGAAGTGACAGGCCATGAGGTCGACGGGAAGCTATCTTGGTGATGGTAGACAGTGACAGTTCCGTCCAGCGGATGCTGTCGCGGATCCCCAACCTGGCCGTAAACAAGCAGTACCTTGTGGTGCACCTATGAAAAGTCCCCGGAAAGTCAGCTCCTGAACCCACTCACGATCCATCAGAGGCCATATCACGTACCCAGGAGTTTTCGGAAACAGATATGATGCGGGGAGCGTAAGGGGAAGAAGGAGTGGGCGACCGTCCTACTCCATTCACAGACATAGTACTACCAAACTAATAGTAAACCCAGGCCATCAGCAAGTAACTTTAGTTCGCGCAGATTCGAGATCACATACATAGGCGCTGTTCCGCTGAGAAGAAGTAGTGAGGGGGCCCGGTCGTTGTGGCGGCACGGCAAGGGGTGAGATTGCGCTGGGTGTGCTGCTGCTCTCGCTCAGCGACGGAAGGTTGGGAGAAGACAAGGTAGGCTTGATCGAGGAAGGTGGGGTGAGGGAGCTGGATGAAGCTGTTTCAAGCGTTGACGACGATTGCCCCGAAGTTACATCGCCATTAGACTGGTGGGATTCGGTCGATTTAGTCTCCGGCGACTTAGTGGTAGTAAAGCTAGCCTTCGAGCGTCGACGTAGCGTCTTGAATAACGGCATGGTGAACGATATTCCTTTGCTGTTGCTGAACCAAGAGGGTCGAGGGACTAAAAAGAGGGCGAGGAAGTATACTGGGAAGGGAAAGAGAGGCTGAGCGGCGCTGGCCTGTCTGTCTCTTCTGCTTCAATGCTTTGTTTGGGGTGGTGTTTTCTTCTGCGACCACCCAATGTGAAATTTCGAAATTCACCAGGAATGAACGAGCGACTGTCAATTTCCAAAGCTGATGTGCTGTCGTCAAACTGGGTATAATTGCTGGGTTTCCTGCGTGGGCTAACACGCTGCTGCTCTGTGTTCGGTGATGGTCCCGACAACAAGCTGGGGAAAAAGCAACCGTTTGCGGTTGCGATTGATCAACGACTGGAACAAGCACCCCGCAATCACCGGAATTTCTGGAAGTTTAATGGTACTTCACAGATTGACAGTTGGTGGGGAGAATGATTAAACAAACGAGAGACAAGAAGGAGAGAAAGAGAGCAAGAAGGAAAAGAAGAAACGAGGGGAGATAGGACCAACAATGGGGTCAATTAGAATGAAATCATTAGCCAAGTCAAAGGCGGGGAGGGGAAAAGATTAGAGAAGCTGAGAAAAGAGGGAAAAACTAGGAACAAGAGGCAGACAGAGAGGCTGGCTTGACCAAGGAAGGAGGGACTTCTGGTGTAAAGGAGGGCCAACAGAAAATAATAATAATAATATAATTATCAGTAAAAAATAAAGTAAAAAAAAATAATGTGGAACAATTGAGAAAATAAGGGTAAAAATAAAAGTAGTAGGGAAAATTGGGGGATAATCAACGAATGGAACTGGTAAATTGGTTGGTGCTTAGGTTGCTGCTATCTCTTTCTCTCACGCTCGCTCTTTCTTGCTCTCTCTTTTTCTTGGGTTTCTTGGGGGGTAGAAACTAAGGAGAATGGGACAGACAGTATTGACGGGATACTAGTACTCCGCAGTACGACTATGAAGAAAAGAGATTGGAAGTGAGAGAAGTGGAAAGCCGGATGGGGTCGATTAGTGCCTGGAACTAAAACAAAAGAGAACAATCACCAGCCATTGTGCTAGTCAGTTATGTCATTGGTATGTGAGACACGCAAAGTGCTGAACAAAACAAGCAAAATCAGCCAAATAGGAAAAAAAGAGGAAAAACAAAGAGCTGCAACGGCCAATCTCCTCCCGGGTTATCTGAATCACTCCCGGTCAGAGCCAGATCCCATTCCCTTTCCGTTACCACGGCTAAAAGCTTGTTCGGCTTTGGTTTGGACTCGCTGTCTCCGTCTGTTTCACCTCGACATGCTATCCCGAGTTCCACGCTGCAGAATTGCAGAGAACCACAGACCCTTGAGCCCTGGTGGTGAGCCCTTCTGCCCCAGTGGTCCCTGAATGCAAGCCGATAGCGACCGAGACCGAGAAGTTTCCCTGGCAATAGGTACAAGGTCGAGAATCCCGATGAAAGGAGAACAATAGACCGTCAGAAATAGCAATACTAATCACAAGTGAACTGCTGCCATCGGCGATTAAGGTGGGGGGGGGAGGGAGTAGGAGGAGAAGGAGGGGAGGGGCCACAGCCAAGCTGCAGCCAGAGGGGGCTCGTTGCGAATAGACAAGGGTGTGTTACGTAGGCTGGATGCCACTGGCCAACAGGGGGCAGGAACAGAAGCGCAGAAAGAATGGTCAAGAACGTGAGATAGTGGTCTCTACCAGACTAAACTACGGTGGACTAACCACTCGCTGTCGTCCTAGCATCACCGTCTCACCATCCCGGCTCGGTGGAGCCTAGCTAGACGATCGTCTGCTATATTTGTCTTTCGGTCTTATCCTCAGCCTCTTACTGCAGTTCCGTGGTAGCAGAGCAAACTGCTGCTATCTTACCGTTCCGAGAATCGATATTGGAACCGAGAGCGGTCGGCCAGTTGAGGGCTTATGTACGTACCACGCCGGTAGGCAGAACAGTTCAAGTGGCACGGCAGTAGGGGTTTTTGATGGTGGTTGATATATTTCTTGGCTGCCGTTCGGCGCACATACCTTTTGACTCAAGTACTGTACAGTACTCCGTACATACAATCAGAATGTTATCAGGATGCAGGATGCAGCCTGCAGAAAGGGAGGGAGGTTCTGGATCCCTTCCCCCTTTCCCTCCCATCCTCGGAGTAGCTATGCAAAGCTATTAAATACCTCAAAAGTCTCACAGCGAGATAAGAGACAGTTGCTGTCCCCCTATCTTATTCCCCTGATTTCCTCCCCACTTAAGGGCCAACTAACGACATCGTCTCTCAACTACCTATGAGTCTCCGTACTCAGCTCCATACACGGTTGTCCCACTGCATTGATCCCCGGAATAAGTCTATTGCTTTTTCTTTCTGCAAATCCCGTCTGTCGTGACTCGTAAGGCATCTTTGCTCGCTGGTGAACCCAACCCAACTTCGACGGGATGGCGCCTGCCGGTAAGAGGGAGCTTGGCGCCAGGAGCGCCCCCAGCTCCGGCCTCCAGCCTCCAGCCTTGAGACTACTAAGAACTAGATCCATCCCACAACCTGGATTTGGTCCTGCTAGTCTCAAAGAAGTCGCCAGGAGCCCACCATGAACGGCCTAATTAACGGCAGATTTGTCCCTTATCATGGCGTTGAGAAAACAGCCCCATCGTTGTTCCATTACCCTCACCACTCTCACCACCCTCAGCTGTCAGAGTGTGCATACAACACAAAGTAGTTATCTACAAGGAACAATCTGCTCGTACTATTGAGCGCTGCAGCGTTTCTTCTATACGCACATGAATTACAGTGAAGTTTCCAAGGTGACAGCTGTATGATAGACGGCTTCAATGCCGCGATGGTGCTGCTGCTCGCAAAATCCAATGTTCCGGACCAGGTCCACGTCATGTTTCGCAAGTTCCTTGTTTCTCTCTCATTGTGATCCCAGCGGCTGTGCCCCCGTAATTCCATACACTTTCTCCTCGTTTGCTTCGCGAGTACGTACATCGTAGCTCTTCTTGTCTGGGTCCCTCCCTGGTGGGCTTTGCCGTGAGAGCTCGACCTGATTGATCGTTGCAGCACAACAGGGTGCACTCCACCACCCTAGTCCCCAGGTGTCTCCATCAGCCTTAACCCTGCTTATTTGAGACGATTTATATTCCGGAGCCCCAGCAAAACCCTTCTGGTATACAACCTCCTCCTCAATAGTTACTAGCAGAGATATTCTCCGCCTGCGAAAAACTTGCGAAAAACTTGCGAAAAACTTGCGAAAAACTTGCGAAAAACTTGCAATGGCGCAAGAACATTTCCGGGGACAAGAATAAGAATAAGAATTGGGGAAGAATGTTGGGTGTCACTGCGCGGAGTCCTACATGTTGGATAACGTAATCGGTAAGCGAGCGACGCGCGCAAGCGAGTGACGCACCTCCGCCCGAAATAAACCATGGTTAAAAGTTTGAAGCTCTATAAAGCCACCAAAACATGTATTTTTATATTCAAACTAAATACAAACACGATTTGGACACTGTAATCGTCTATGTCCAATAATATGACAGTCACTGCAGCGTGGGGGCGCCCGTACGCGGCGTTGCAATGTCTCTGGTTTGTTTAATGTAGGTCCAGTCTGTATAGTCTCTTCCACCTGATTCCTGCTTTGTACAAGTACATGGCCTTCTTCAATTGAAAGGCCCTCTGTAGAAGCAATCT